GAGGACAATGATTAATTTTTGGTGGTGGTCTGGAACAATAATCAATCAATTATCAATAATAATCAACAATTGCTGCCTTGGCAGAGGTCTGCACTCTCAAAGTGCTTTTCTAGCTTTGTTATGTTTTCCTTTATAATTTTTTCTCAAACACTTGCATTTGTGACTTTTAACTCTCATCTGCCTGGGGCTCTGCACATTTTCTGTATTTCCACATAAGCAGTTGTATTGTTTTTTATGTCTTTAAACATTATGTAATATTATTTTATGCACTGTCATCATTTTTCAAATATTGAGAGTTTCATAATGTGAATTTGAACTCTCATGGTCCTGAAACTGTAATTTTATTGAAGGGGTGGACCATCTTCTGGGTCTTCCTGAAGACAGTCAGGTTATTAAGTTTATATTGACTGGTATCTATTTTTTTCTGTTGGAAGACCATCAAAATGGAGGATGGATCAACATAGATACTTTGTAATACTGTCAGAAAATATCTCTGGGTCCGCTCCTGTTATTGACCATGTTACCTGTTGTGCAAGATTAAAATTAAGTGTTGACTGACAGTGCTATTATAAGCATTATTTATTATTGCATCAAAATTGACAAAATGACCTTTTTTGCATCTTTATTTTCTGTTTTTTGTCTGTACATTTGACAGCTTTGCTGCCTTGTTCTCTTTTTTTCTTGTCATTTCAGATCATTTTTCAAAGATTTTCAATTTTAAGTCAGATTCTTTTTCATGATTTGTAACACTTCTTTGAATAGAATGCTGTCTGCATCTGTCCATTGAGAAATTGATTTGTGTTGAAACAGACACTTAATGAAATCCCAGTCAAAAACTTTCTAATCCAATTTCATAATGAAACTGCAAGCTTAGCATTATGATTCCAATAGGGAAATATCATGTGTTAGGACCAGTACCCAACTCCTGTGTTAACTTTTCCCATCATTTTTTCTAAAATTGATAAAGCATATACTTTGTGGAATTAGTTATGAATAAAAAAGTTCCCAAAATTTCATAGTAAAAGCATCAAGAGTTTTAAGATAAAGAATATATTATATTTTATTGTTTCTTTAATAGGACATTCAGAACAGCAGACAAACAGATTTGTGGATCAAATATGGCCGATCCACTTGAATGCTTGTTGCATAATCCCCTTGGGGAATCTTTTTTAAATTAGTGTCTAATCAGGAATTAAGCGGTAAGCTTTTAAAGGGTCGCCATATTTTATCTCAGATCTGATAGTCTGCTGTTCTGAATGTATTCTCAGTTGTTGTCTTCAACTTCTTTAACACTGACCTAATTGTCCAACTTAATAACTGAGTTAGATAAGTGTTTAGATACACACGTAGATGTTATATATGTGTGTGTGTGTGTGTGTGTATCCATGTGTGCTTATATACGGGTGTTTTTTTTAAATAGTAGATTATTTAAATGGTATCTTCAAACTTTCTTGTGGTAAAAATAATACTTTGGCAAAAGAATGTAAAGATATTTATTTTAGAGCCAGATTTTCTTTTTTTTTTTTTTTTTTTTTTTGACTTGAAGAATTTGTTGACAAACACTTAAAAAAATAATATTTCAATGGCATTTATTTTTGAAGATGAAAACTGGTCAAGAACTAGTTATGGTTATTATTGAAAGTAGTTCAGAAACAGTTAAAGTAAGGAATTTGAAAATTATGCTGATGAAACAATGTAATTCACTAGTAAATCAGGCACCGACTCTGACTTTAGCATAGTGAAGAAATCCTTAGAAAACATCAAAGGCAACTAGCCTTTCTTGTTGGCAGCCTGTTGACCTAGGATCTCTTTGATCACGTTCAGTTGGTTTACCTTACCAGGTTTCGTGAGCTTCCTGTCAAGATTGTCTGTGTGTTGTTTGTTCATCTCCCCTTGTTAATGAACCTTAATGACATGTTATATAGTTGAAGTCTGAGACTGAGTGATGTATGGGATACCTGCCTTTCTGACCACCAGGCAGCTATTATACTAGTATTTTCACAGCATTTTATAATTTTAGTGCTATTTCCACAGGATTTCACAGAGTTAGGGCTGTTTCCACACATCTGTCCATTGAAATTTCTACACAACCCACCCATACTCCACACAACCATACCTACTAATGGTATACAGTGCTTCGGCACATGGTCTCAGTCTCAGCAGCCCGTGATTCTTGGGCCGCATTTACAACAGCAGACTAACTAGTCCGCAGATCACATATGGCCGACCTCATTTGAATGATTGTTGCGTATTTCATGCAGGGAACCTATTTAGTGTCTATAAGGGGATTATGTGGTTAGCTTTTAAGTGGGTTGCCATATTTGATCTGCGGACTAGTTTGTCCACTGTTGTGAATGCGGATGAAGATGCTCTGATAGACATCAAAATTTTAATATTTAGCTGTTGATTGAAGAAAAAATAACTTAATTCTTACAGCTTATTTAATGTAAGTTGTGTTCTCTTCAGGGTACAGATTGTATGCCTTCAATCAGCTCATCAGTGACAGAATAGGATTCCACCGACAAATTCCTGACACCAGGCATCAACTGTGAGTGTTTTAACGAAAAATTTGGATTAAAATTATTTTTTAATTGTAAAAATTCATATTTTGTAATTTGATTGAATTGTTTGATATAAAGTTTCTGATTGTGCAGTAAAATTGAATCTGTGTTTTGGGTTTTTACATAGTGTGATGTTTGTCTATTAAATTTCTTTTATTCAAAAAACTGATGATTATGACATCAACTTTATTGTTTTGGATAAAACTACAAATTTGCATAGATTTCAATATTTTATGCAGACAGTTCTGCATGTTTTTAGATTCTCTTCCAGTCATTTTGCTTCCCTAACTCTAATTTTTATGTACAGACACAGATGTGTCTG